CTACCTTTAGTAAAAATTCTAACTAATTAATTATTTTAGAAATGTTTCTGCTATTTTTTTTATTTTTGAATTTGTTTTTGATCACCATACGTATACTAAAAAGGGATAGCCACAGTGTAGAAATATCTATCATTTAATTTTGAAGTAAAACTTTTTTAGGCGGGACTAGGGAGCAAATCCGTACAAATGCAACGGAAGTCCGTTACGCCCGAACTGTTTATCATTCGCTCGCGATGAGATCATTTATATACAGGTCGATTGTGATTGGTTGACATGAAATTTATATTATTTATTTAATTATAGTGCAAAATAAAGCAAATGAAACATTTGTGCCGTGTAAGAAACGTCAGTTTATTGAATTAATTTTTATATTATTCGTAGTTTCTATAAATCTTTGAAGTTAATAAAATAGAAAATATTTTTATATGCAAGACAGATAATACAAATGGTTTTACGAATTAATAGCCACATTATTTAATCAATGCAATTCAGTCTAATTATTGGGTTGAAAAATAAAATAAAAAATTAGAGTCTAAATATGTAAATCTTGTTATACATAAGGGATGTTCTCACCAACTTTTACTACAATCCTAAATCTAGCTTTAGTAGATAAACCGGTTTCAATTATCATAATCAAACTAACTGATTTTAGAAATACAATTATCTCAAATAATGTGAATAAAACTTCTGTTTGAAATACATATTTTATGGGCACATTTTTTAACAAAGATCATTCTGCATACAACTTTCGTATGGAACTTCGGCAGAAGAATTATTCATCATAATAAAAATAACTTTTAATATAATTTCTCATAAAATTGACTTTTAAATTAATTTACTTTTTTATTTACTAGTTTTTTATTATTTACACCTCGCCAGAATAAAAATTCAGGTGATCCCTACCTTAACCAAATGTAAGCTATTCAAGAAATTATATAAAAAAACCTGTTGGATTTAACTTGAAAATAATAATATTTTTCATAAAGCAATGAAAAAACGTACCAGAGTTAAAATTTATATTGAAGTATTTTTAATAAACAACTTTTGTTAAAAAAATTATCGATGTGGCATTTTATCTCCTGAAGTCGCTTTAAAGTGATGACTAGTTCACATCTTTATCCATTTATTTTTATTTAAGTATTGTTAAAAAACAGCATAGTTTACTTATTTTAGGATAATGGAGCTGAAGCTTTTTACTTTACTCCATATGAAATAATAAAATAAAAATTCCTGTATTATTATTGCACAAACACATATATTAATTTTATTTACAACATTTGATAATTTTTTTCTTACATCTATTACATCTGTAAATGACAACATATTATCAAGTGCAAGGACAAAAGATTTTCATTCTTCCAATTATTAAATCAAGCCATTTTTAGTTTTCAATTAATTTTTTTTCTTATTAAACCGGAATTTCAAATCCTGCCGCCTTTATTTTGGGCAATTCGCATGCAATTGCACTTGCTGCAACTTCACATTCGTCGGATCCGGAAACTTCTGCATCACAAGCCATTGATATTTCTTTTATCTGAAACAAAAATAAAAAATGAAAATAGAAAAAAGGAAAATATCTCTTTTAATACTAATCAGAACTATATTTTCTACTGGCTGTCTGTGTTTGCCATAGTTTATCGAAACCTAGTATTTTTCTGGAGAGGGCAAACCAGTGGTCAACTACTCTTCTTTTTTGTGTAGACTATATATATATATATATATATATATATATATTAGAAATTATTATGTATTAAGTTTTGGCGTATACATATATGTTGCAGCAATGCCCACGATTGGAAAATATCTTTTTAATACCGAGTGCAGTTAACGGAGAGGAAAAAAAGGTATAACCATGGTATAACCTCTGAATTTTTTTACTGTGCTCCAATTTGCATGAAATTTTGGAATTTGGTTCATCTTTCCCTCAAGTCCAAAAGTGAAAATAATTTGGACACTGCCGATTTTTAACGGTCAACCATTCTTAACTCAATTTGTACAGTTTCCTTATACTATATATGATTATGAAATAATTTTGGAGAATGTGTATATGTTTATTCACTTAAGTGTGTGGTTTATAACTTTGACTGAAAATTTGATAACATACTGCCTGATATCAAGCTGGCTAGTTTGTACTAGCTCATCTTTCTAAGTATCAATATAATTTTACCTTTTCAAATTGAGGAGATCCTTCATCGTACACCATTTTGCCTGCATTTAATAATCCTTCAGCACTGTATTTACCACCTTTAATCTATTACAAAAAAATTAACATTTATTATTAATATATCTTCATATAAATTTTTTAAATAAATTATTATTTTAAATTATAAAATTATTGTTTTTCTTACTATTCCGACGCCTTTGTATATACAAGCTGCCAAACATTTTGTTCCTCGCATTTCTGGAACTTCGTGGGATTTTAATTCTGCAATTTCCTCTGCAAAAAATAACAAAAATATTAACAAATTATATCAAATATTTTAATGACCATAAACTTTAAGTATTTGAAACAAAACTCATAAAATATAATTTTATGTAAAGAATTTTTGGTAAAATAACTTATGATTCAAAAATGTCGATTTATTAACATATTTTTATCTATTACAATTTTTTTTCTTTAAATAGAAATTTAGTCTCTGGATTCAAGTACTACGTTTGAATCTGCAGAATTATTATAAATTTACTAATATGTTATAATAAAAAGTTAATATAAATAAATAGTTATAACACTTGTACAATGCTATTATAATAATATAAAAAATAAATAGTTGCAATACTACAATTTAAATCTAGTGCTAAGATATTGATTTGAAACCAGACTACTTTGCAAATTCTGTTATAATAATAAAAAAATAATTAATTTGTCATAGGTGTTAGCAAACTTACATAACAATTTTGTTTTAATTATATCTAAATTACAATCTGTATAAATAAGACATTTAGTAATTAACCTGAGATTTAATAAAGGTATAATTTTTAGAGAACTACCCATTAGTACTTTTTTATTTATGAAAAATTTCTAATTTATGAAAAAACTTACATAATGATTAATTTCTGAATTTTTGACAATTTATAAATTTTAATTTTATTATTACCTGGAGTTGCTCCGGTTTCAGCTGCACAATTTTTTGCCATTTCCATAAAAGTTGCTTTGGCTTCTTCTATAGTCATTTTACCCTGAATAAAAATATAAATATAATTTGTAATAGTAATAAATCGAAGACAATTTTTATTATCGTCATAGACAAATCCCCCATTCCTAAAATTACGCCTAAAATTTAAATACTAAATTATATGGTCTCAAAAATGTTCATATATCATTAATCTAAACAAATTCTCTAAAAAAATAAAATTTTGTGAAAACTATACAAAACATGATAGTAAAATAATAATGATAGTATAGATAACTATGCCAAATACTATTTTTGCAATTATTTAAATACTCTATATTATATTAAAACGAAATAAATTTTCTATTAGTATAGACAAAGACAAATTCAGAACATCAGTTTTTTTTTACTTTTTTCGATATAAAAAGGTAAATATTTAAAATATCGTGCAAAAATACAATGCGAAAATATGATATCTTATCGTTAATATTATTTATGCTGATTATGATTATGCTATATATTTTATATAGCTATATATAATGATTATGCTATGTATAAATGTTTGGTTAAATTATTTTTCAATAAAATACATATTTTTCTAATTAAAAAAAAAGATGTATAGAAAAAACTTTCCAGCATTAGACTTTTAACAATTAAAATTTTGTATCCAAATCTAAATCTAAAATTATCTAATTTCTATAAAAAAAAAAACTTTTTTGCGCTCTTAAATATTTAAATCTTAAATAAACTAAAAATTGAGAACAACGATATTAGGTTATGGACCTAAATAATGTCAGAAAAAAATGTTTTGTTATATTTTCAACTGAATTATCAACTAACAGACAAATATATAATAGAGAAGTATAATATAATTTTTCTTATTAATTATATAATTATTTTCCGAATAATTAATCTCATAAGTACTATTTGCTATATAAAAATCTCAAAAATTACTCACAGCAATACATCCAGCAAGAGACACCAAAACCACCGTCATAAACAAACCTTTAGACATCATGATTTTAAAATATTTAAACAATTTTACACAATTTTAAATCTGATTTTTTTTTATGTTTATTCCAAAACAAATCGACTAAAACAATTCCCTAACCAAAAACAACATTTATATTTATACTCTATGACTATCCTTGATTTTTCAATTGCGGACGCCAATTAGGAAATAATTGGAAAATCATAGTAATTTTTTTGACAATAGATCTCTTATTACAATATATTAGTAAAAATGCCGAATAATGTTGTAGGTACTCTACTGATGATTTCGTCAATTAATTGCCCAGACAATGGTAATAGATCCATTGTTAATAATAAACAATTCTTTCTGTATTTTTGTAACATTTTTATTAAATTTAATATGTATTTCAAATCATCAAATGTTGATATCACAATCTATTTAAAAAACAAAATTTCAAAATGATTTTTTTTTTATATTTTGTCTCCAAAGATGTAATTCAAGTTACTTTTCTCTATCAGTGTTAAGCTAAATATTGCAAGAACAATTTTCTCTATATTTTTATAACTAAATTTAATAGATCTATTACATAAACTAATATTGTTGAAATTACAATATAATCAAAAATAAGTTTTCAAAGTGGAATGTCGATGTTATTTTCCTTAAATTTGGGAATTTAATAATGTTGTAGGTAATCTACTGATGATTTCGTCAATTAATTATTAACCCAGACAATGGTAATGGATCCATTGTTGATAATAAACAATTCTTTCTATATTTTTGTAGTATTTTTATTAGATTTAATACATATTTCAAATCAACAAATGTTGATATCACAAACAATTTAGAAAACAAAATTTCAAAGTGATATTTCTACATTTTCTCTACAAAGATGTAATTCAAGTTACTGTTCTATATCAATATTGAGCAATATTAAACGAACAATTTTCTCTATATTTTTATACCTAAATTTAATAGATCTTTTACATCAACTGATATTGTTGCAATCACAATCTATTCAAAAATAATTTTTTAAAGTGGAATGTCGATGTTATTTTCTTTAAATTTGGGACTTTCACAAGCAACTGCTTTGGCAGCCAATTCGCATTCATCAGCATCCACGACTTCTTTTGCACATTCTTGAGCGATTTCCTTGATCTAAAAAATAAATTATTATTGAGAAAAATTGTTTAGAATGTTTAAGATAATATTTGATAAAATATATTTTGATTTATTGATTGTAAACTGATTTTAAGCGCGATTTTTGGAAGCAAAACTCAAGAGTTCGAAAAGTTTGATTTGATGGAAGAAGATTGATAAAAACTATGGATTTATGAAACGTTCTAAGATTTAATAGTTTTATGATATTCATAAATTATTTTACAAGGTAATTTAATGAGTTTGAAGTGGGTTTTAGTGTCAAAAAATGTTTTTTTACCTTTTCGTGTTGAGGAGTAGTTTCATCGTAGAACATTTTGCTGGCTGCCACCAAAGCTTCAGGGTTGTATTTTCCGTCTTTGAACTAAAAAAATAAATAAATTAGTAGAAATTGATCCAATATAAAAATTTTCACCTAAATTATCCATAACACTTTGATTTATTATTAAGTAAGCCCGAAAATAGAAGTATACTAGTAAGGGGCTTTATCGTAACATTTTTTTTTTATATTTATTTTAATTATTATTAAATAATTATTACGATTATATTTTTTTGAAATAAAAATGTATAGATGCTATAACTATTAAATAGAGTAACTTGATTCAAAAATGTAAGTTTTAATATGTTATCATATTAATGTTCAAAATTCAAATTTAAGTTTTGTTTCAACAGTTTAAATAAACTAGTGGGGTGGGTGGCATCGTGCCTTAAGGCAAATTGCTGGAACTTCCCGTACCGTAACGAAACGTTCGAGGAATATTGAATGTTTTCAAATAGATTATTATAAATATTGTATTATTGTCTAATATTTATAAGAATTATATAAACTGAATTGCAGAGTTGAAATTATTTGTTTAAAGTATATTAGAACTATAGTCAGAATTAAAAATAAAATCTGAATTATTTTCGACATACAAAAAATTAAAAAAAAAAAAAAAAAAAAAATGGTACAAATTTTTTTTTCCAAAATCAATTATTTTGTTAAGACAAGCAGAAAGTTCTTTGAATCAATTGAATCGGACGCTTAGTTCTTTCAAAAACTGCCATTTTTTGTACATTTAGCTCTGTATCTCCGAAATGGCTGGGCCTGCCTTTGCGAAAAACTAATAACCCTTTCTCCCAATCATTACTAATGGAATGTTTTTTAGATCATTCAAATCGGATGCTCCGTTCTCTCAAAAACTCGATTTCTATTTTCTGCACTCTTTGCTCCTTATCTCCGTAACTGCTGGACCTGTCTTTGCCAAAAACTAATCAGCTCTTCTCCTTATTAATAGGAATCGAATGTTTTTTAAACCATTCAAATCGGTTGATCCGTACGCCCGAAAACGTGGACGAAAATTTGTATCCATACATACATACACACACACACACACACACACACACATCCATTTTTTCTGAGGTATGCCAAAACGTTCAGAAACCTTCAAAACGTCGAGAAATGTAAAAATTTTCAATTCCGATTTTCGGCCCATTACAATAACTTACCCTACGGGAAGTTAATAAAAATTACAAAAATTGTGAATTAATTTAAAATTAGCTATTTCAGAATTTGTAAGAAATTAAATTAAAGTTTTTACTGTTTTTAGATTTTTTTTTTATAAAAATACTTACCACTCCAAAGTTCCTATACAAGCAAGCTCCAAAACATTTTGCTCCTTTGGATTCCAAAGGTACTTTAGTTTTTAATTCTTTGATTTCCTCTAAAAATAAGAAAAAAAAAATTAGTAAAAAAGTGTATTTGTTGTTATAAATATTAATCTAGTCATTTGAATCATTTAAAATAATTTTAATGCGTGGAAATGCGTTTCAATTAGGAGAAAAAACACCAGGTATTTTGATTTTCTAACAAATTTAAGAAAAAATGCCTAAATATTAATTTTATAGCGATTTTTAAGATTTTAATTTGCTTTTATTCATCGAGAATTTTACCCAAAATTAATTTACAAACTATGTATAAGAATTTCTAAAATTAAATTAAAAACTAATTAAATATTTTATTAAATTCACAGTTTGATATGTCTATATCGAATATTTTAAATAATTAGCTGATTTTATCACAAATTTTAAATTTATAACAAAATTTTATAAATTTATTTAGGGTTTTTCCAGAATTGAATCTTGAATTTATAAAAACTCGTTCATATTTAGATGAAATTATAATTTTTTCTTTTTAACGGAAAAAAATAACTTAAAATCTAATTTGATAAAGTGATATCTAAGATTTTCATTTGTTCTTGTTCATCCAAAATTGTGATTCGAATTTAAGCTCAAATTTGAGCTAACATCTATATGAGTTATTAAAATTAAATTAAAATGCAATTAATTATTTTATTACATGCATAATTTAATATACATATGTCAAATATCTATTTTAATAGCTGTATTTATCACATATTTTAAATTTTTATTAAAAGTCAAGAGAATTACTTAGGTTAATTATAATTAAATTTTTAATTTGAAAATAACTGTTCATATTTTTAATAGATTTAAAAAATACTTAAAAACTAATTTGATAAAGTGAATTTTAAATTTTTAATTTACTCTTGTTGAAAAAAGAATTTTACTTGAATTAAGTATTTTGTATGAATACTTATTAACCGCATTTATATATATATATATATATATATATATATATAATATATAAGATATTTTCTCTCATTTTTGTCGAATTTATTAACTTATTAGCTAATAGTCGATATTAGCTAACACTCAAAATCTAATATTTTTTATATTATAAATTCTGTTGTGTGTACTTTTCACATACATACTACCTGAAGAACAAAATTATCTAATATTATTTCTAGTTAAAAATATATACTCGAAAATATTATTATCTACCTATTTTATCTAAAATCATTTTGAAACAATTATTTAAAATAATCCAATTATCGATGTTATATTGATCACAGTATACGAGGTCTGTTCAAAAAGTACCCGGAATTTTCGTTTTTTCAAAAAAATATTTATTTATTCGTCTACATTAATGTGGTCCCCTTCAAAGTAGTCCCCCCCAGATATAATACACTTATGCCAGCGTTTTTTCCAATTTTCGAAGCACCCTTGATATTCACTTTTTGATATGTCCTTGAGCACTCTCAGCGATTCGGCCTTTATTTCTTCAATCGAGGAAAACCGCCGTCCTTTCATGGGTCTCTTCAACTTTGGGAATAGGAAAAAGTCACACGGAGCCATATCTGGTGAATTTTTGCACTTTGCAACACTTTATTTCATTTTTTACGCAAAATTTAATACAAATTCTTTGACTTTTCAATTCTTCCATTGTAAAAATCGCCGAGCTCAGAAAAACACGTCGAACCTTAGCGACTACCACAGACAAAGTAAACAGTGAATATAGCTGAAAATTTCATCATACTTTAGGGGCATGTATACCAACACAATAAAAAAAATTTTTTGACAATCAGACACTCCAGACCCGCGAAATTTAATTATTAGTAATTCCGGGTACTTTTTGAACACACCTCGTATGTGTTTTGAATTTCTTTGCATTGAAATTGTTTATAAACTTTTACTAACAAACAATGGACGTGCAATAAAAAACGTCAATTATAGTTTATAACAAAAATTTAAACAATGAATTATTTTTTTATAGTTTATAGTTCTATAGTTTACCTTCGGTTGCTCCTGTTTCTTTGGCGCATTTTTTTACAAGTTCTTGTACAGCTGCTTTTGCATCTTCTTTTGCTGATTCATCCTAAAATTACAAATAATAATAATAATTATATAACTTAAAATTTGAAATTTATAACTAATAACGACTATGTCCCAGCCACATTCATATGTGGCATGCGTTGCAGTGGGTAAACCATCAACTTATATACCATACCACTTCTACATTCACAATCAGTTAATTTTCATACTTTTAAAAATAATTTATATGACAAAACAGTATTTGTTAGTTAGTTTTTATATGAAATAGTGTTTTTATTCAGTACATTTTAATATTTATAATACATATTAAACTAGGACTTTAGAATTTGAGGGTTTTAATAAACATGTTAATGAAAAATATACTTATTTTTATATCGAGTAATAAATATACTTTGTTATTTTAATTGTCATTCAATCAAATCGTAGCCTAATAGAAGATAAATCATCATGTTTTAATTTAGTAGCCTTTATAGAAGATTTTTTAAATTTATTTAAGATTTAGTTATTTTTTTTGTTTTTTTTTAACAAAAAAATATATATGAAATAGTAATGAAGCCTTTGATTCATTTTATAATTGTGTTACTTTTTATACATATTTTTAAGAACTACCTAGATTTTTTTATATCAAAGAATTCATATTTCATTTGAATTTCATAAATTTTGAAGTAATGTGTAATTTTCGTAAAATAATCAATTTTTTTGAATTCTAAATTAGTTAAACAGATATTTAACTGGTTGCCAATTAGTAGTAAAAGTGGCTCTTCATTTATTTTATAATTTTTATCTATATGCTTAATTATTATCCAAGCATCCAATTATCGAAACAGAAAATTCTCTAAGGGCAAATTGTTCCAAAGGCAAATTATTTAAGGGCTAACTGCTTATGTGGTAAATTAAATTTTTATATTAACATTTCAAAAAAATTGATATTTTGAATAAGGTTTTTCTGATATAAATAAAACTACTTGCTACTTACTAAACCATTTAACATTTGACGTATGAGCAGCCCTCTATTATTTTAATCTACATTAGGCTTCCACAAAAAAATTTAAATTAAAATATATTTTTTCACGCATTTTTGAAAAAATATAGTACAAAAGATGCGTCCTGGAGAGCTCCTTAAGCAGTCCAATTAAAAGTAGGAACAGATATCGATGAAAATATTATAAGTCAAAATTATCTTCGAAAACGTGTCAATTTTATTATTTGTCACTATAGTAGATATATTGATAAATATATAGAAAATTTACAAGAAATGTAGTATAAACGGTGCGTCCTGTAGAGCTCTCTTAAACAGTGACTACACCTTGCATAAGTAAGTTTGTAATAATTCACAAGCAGGTACAGATATTGAGGAAAAAATTTATAAGTCAAAATTTTCTTAGAAAACGTATCAATTTTATTATTTGCCTATATAGTAGATGTATTGATAAATATATAGAAAATTTAAACTAATGTAGTACAAACCGGTGCGTCCTGTAGAGCTCCTTAAAAGTGACTACATCTTGCATATATAAATTTGTAAAAAATTAAAAGTAGGTACAGATATTGATGAAAACAATTTTAGGTCAAAATTTCCTTAGAAATGTATCATTTTATTGTTCGTCACTAATAAAAGAAGTATTGATAAATATATTGAAAAAATTAC